CCAGTGGTTTGCACCAATTTTCTGCTGAAATCCAAATGTAACGATAGATGATAACTTGGAGGGGAGTACCGAGCTCTCAGTGGATCGGCAGCTAAGTGAGCCCTGAGCCCAAAACATGCAGCATTTTAACGACAATAGAGGAAAACAGGGCTGGTTCATAGAGTGCAGTGCAAAAAACGCTTTTACCCTTCCCAGGAAATCGCCTGTTCCGGTTATTTTGGGTTTGCCTTCATTGGTACCAAGGCTGCATGGGCACTTAATCATAAATCTGCCCAAGGGGGGAAAAAACCCAAACACATGCACAAAAAAAAAAGGTAAAGGACATCTTTACTGATACCAGCTTCGGCAAAGGATGGCAGAGCACCGTGCTCTCTGATGGGACAGGCAGGTTTGGCTCCGGTACCCCCTTATTGCAGTTTTGGCTGGGGTGGCTGCAGGCAGGAGCACCAGCCTGCCAGGCTCCTCCTGCCCAGCGGCAAGGCTGGCAGCCTGCAAGGCTCTCCAGGCTGCTTGGAAGCGAAGGAAGCAGAGCCAGCCCCTCAGAAACGGCTAGAAAGGGCTTGGCTCGGTTTGGCTGTCATTTTTCTGGGGGTATGTGGGAGCTCACCCACCCAGGAACAAGGAGCCGTCACATTCACAAGTGAAGATGAAGGCCTTTCTAGTCAGACTGCAAACTCTTTCCTACCCATGCTGGGGAGAAGGATGCCATGAATTCACTGTTCTCTTCCCCCAAAACTGCTTGCTTGCTTCAATGCTTTGAGAACTTTCCCACATGAGCCATTTCTCAGATTATTTTTCTTAAAAACAAAAAAAAAAAAAAAAAAGATGCAGGACACATGCAACCATCACTCCTAATTCCTGACCTTCTCAGCATTGTGCAGGTCACACATCACACCTTTAGTTCAGACAACTATAAATTCACCAGTGCTGACACGTTTCAGCCAGACCTCAGCCTTACCCTGTGACTCACCAGGAGCAGGACTGTCCTGCTTGGAGGAGCCTGCCAGAAAAAAGGCTTAAAAACCGCAAGATGGTCAAAAAGTTCAGTGCCAAGTCAGTGTTTACCAAAGGCTGCGTGTCATGTGGGTACATGAGGCGTCCCTTTCTCATCCGTGATGGGGCAGATTAAGACACCTGAATACAAATGAAAGCAACAGCAGCACGGGTTCCCTTCTCTGAAAAGGATGAGGGATATCAGCTCCAGCGGGAGGGCCACCAGCTACAAACATTTTCCTGGGTGACATCGCTGTTAGCATCACTGTGAGATGGCGGTGACCCCAGAGACAGCCCAGGTCCCCAGCAAAGCGCTGCCACCTCCAGCCCAAGTGCACACTGGAGAGTTTGTGTTTCTTTCAGCTGCCCATTCAAAATTAAGAATGGCATAAATGCAGACATACAGTCACATCTCTGTCATGTTTCATGGACATTTCGGAACCAGGCTGACTTCGAGTCAAAAGCTAGGCTGATGGGGAAGAGAGGCAACGAACACTCGAAGAGGCCATATAAACTGTGGCCAAGTTACTCGGTAGCATTCCTACCCCCTCCCCCTTTTTATTTATTTCTTTTTAAACCTTTAGGTTTTTCTTTAATAGCAAAAGAATCTCTCATGTTTGTCATTGCAGTTCGGAACTATTTTTAACACTGCTAATGAGTGACCGAAATGGGGTGGAGTAGCTAAGCCAGCTACGCTGCTCCCAGCCACCCACAAGGTTTATCTGACCATCGGAGGAGGAGCTGGACCAGGGCTGTCCCGCACGAGAAGGCAGAGCAAGGCACCTGCAAACATGAGAGACACGGAAGAAAATGTCTGTGTCCTGGGACATGCATGGCGAAAAATGTACAACAGTTCCTGCAGCTTATTAAAAAAAGCCCCAGACTCCTCACAGGGAAAGCATCTCAAATACTGGAGTATTTTTCTTTGCGTTAATCTCTGAACAGGGCTCAGAGTATGTAGTTTGCATCTCATCTGCCCATCAGAAAAAGATAGGAGAAAAATCATCTGTGCAAAGAAGTTATTCTTGGGCTCGAGCTTTAGAAACGGTACTCAAATGAAGGTAAAAAGTGGTTTCTGACAGGGTCATAAAATTACCAGAAAATGTAACACCCAGCCCACATTTGTCCTTTTGTCCTTTGAAGCGGTCTCTGCAGAGGTGCGCTAGCATTCGGGGAGTCGGAAGCTGCTGAAACGGGTACATCCTGCATCCCTTCTCCTCCCCACCGTGATTGCTGCATTCAGAGGAGGAACTGAAAATAACCGTGGGAAGTACCAGATGGCAGCTGCTGAATGCAGCGTGCCGTCTGGCAAGTCCTTCCGAGCAAAAGAGCGCACATACTGAATGGGAACGAAGATGCCATCATCGAAGCATGACGGCAGCATGGCAGCATGAGGAACACAGCACTAGCCTGAGCAGAAAAGCAAGAAACACTCCGCTCTGGACAAACAATATATATACATACACACACACACGTATATATAAAAGCCTACCTAATGTAGGGAAGTGCTGTGAAACATCCAAACCTCTATTCATACTAAACCACTAAAGGCAGATTGCACTGATGGGATAACTGTGTTTATTGCAGAACAGCAAGATGCCTACAAACCCAGGCACGCGCTGGTGCGCGTTGCTGTGGTGGTGTAAGACAAAACGCCAGAGCAGGACAGCTGCTGTCCCCCAGCCCTCTGCCCCAAGGTCACCGTTCTTCTACCAGCCTGGGAGGAGAGCAAGCACCTGCATGCCCGGCTCTCAGCGCTGGCGAGCGGGGTCCAGGATAAGACCCCGGCCCTTGGGCTGCCCAGGCACCTGCTCCCTTCCCCGGGGTCTGCTGCTCAGCCGGATGGCGAGGACACGGCATTGCCAAACCTTGCAGCAACAGCTCAAAGTGTTCCCACGTCAAGGCAGAATCAGTGATGCCTTGTGTCCTTGCAATAAGTGACACGCATTTAAAAACAGGAGTGTTTTTCCCCCCCAGTGTCCAACCCCACTTGGTTGATTCACCAGAAACATGAGCTATATAAAACACCTTGAAAATTTGCAGCTGTGACATGCACAGGATCAGACTGTTCAAAGAAGCACTACATTTTAAGAGCATTTAAATATACAGTTACATGTCTTTTCAGACCTTACAGATAAATTAGATAAGGTCTTTCTTTTAGGAGGTATGGCAGAGGGAGACAAAAATAATTTTTCAGTATTTTGAAGCAATAACTTGACTAGAATTACAACACACACTAGTAAGACAGATGTATGAGGTACAGCTTGGAAATCTTTGGCCCACAGAGGAAGTCAGATTATATTACCATGTAGCCTTAAAAATCAGAGAATTAAGGGGTTTGTGGATGACTAAAGAAAACTAATCGGAGAGGTATTCCTAAACTTAAAAGACAATTTTGTAGAAATATTAAAAATGAGTGATTTTTCAGTGGTTACCTATAGGAAGACATGATGTTGGTCTACCTTTTATTAATTTAGTTAAGATGGATCCTCTTGTATGTGATGTCAGGTTGGTCTAGCTCATGTATATGCTAGAGCAAGTTTGTATGATAGGATTTTTTAAAATTTTTCTTTTTAAATCAGAATCATAAACATCTAAAGTTGCTGAACTCGAATTATTTATAAAATTACACAAGGTGTTATAACTGAAGTAGACCACTGGCAGCATAGATATATGGTGTAAACAGAGCCACAAACACTTACACCAGCTAAGGATTTGTCCTATAAATCACAAGCTCTAGGATCTGGAAAGGTCAACTTTTTCCTTAAGCAGCTGTGTAGAGCTGTCAGATAAAGTTAATTGTGCTCCTTCATAGTAAACTAACGTATAGCTAACGAAGAAGGAAAAAATAAACTGAAATCTTTTTTATCCCTAGGATTTACAGTAAAGGATTACATATACAAACCTAAACACCAGTCACATGAGGCTTTACTCACAGTAGCTTCAGCAAACATATTTGCCAAGGGCAAGTGGTGAAGCAAGGTGGGGATCTGACCGCACAGGATCGATGCACAGTTCATGGCTGCCACTTCTGCTGCATGGAGGAGCATCAAGATGACCCTCGTTCAGCCGTTCTGAGGTCAGTGGGATGCAGTTACCTCGAGCAGAGGGATTATTCAGCCATTCTGAGGTTAGTGGGATGCAGTTACCTCGAGCAGAGGGATTTTTTTTGCTTGTTCTGGCAACAGCCCTTCAAGCTCAATAATTTAAAATTAAACCACACAGAGTTTATTTAGAAAAATAACCTTTTACACCTGCAGAGAGCCTGGGAAAATAGACCATTCCCACCTCCAGCTTTTTGCTCAGTGATATTTTAATCGCATCCAGCAAGGACCCAGATTTCCTCCCAGATCTCACGTTAATTCACTGTTATCGAGAGAATGATTATACATTATGAGAGAGCAAACCAGAGCCTTCGGGCATATGCGTATTATATAGTTTCTGAAGAGTGCCCCTGTGAATTGCAAGTATGGTTACAAATTACTGTACTTCCAAAACATAAATATGATAACATGCTTTGCTGACCTGTGGTTGTCTTGAAGTCTCTTGCCCATGGTCTAAGACTATTTTAAACAATATAGAGATACCAAATCAAGATAAGAAGCTGCAGCACTGAATTTATGCTAACTGCAAACCTGCAGTTATCAGCTATTAACCTCATTGATAAGAATTGTTCTTCTTATCAAGAGATGGTAAATGGAAAAACCCAGAGATTAAAAGGTGCTAAGAGTCCTTTTGGAGAGGGCTACGTGAAAAGCCTTAAGTAGACAATATTTCTTCACAACAAACATACTGTCAGGTTTAATACCACACCTATTAGAAGTTATTTACTGAATAGAAAAAGATGATTTTTCATTCCCCAAATAGTAAATAGTACATGTATTCTTCCAACCAAGAGGAAAAGCACAGAATAGCTGCAGTTCATTTCTTCTTGATTCACAGTTGCAAACAACAAAAGTTCACAGCAAGAACTTCCTCTTTCAGAATAAAGTAGAGACATCCAGTTGCTAGAAGTATAAATCTCGTCTTCTGTCATGAATCTGAATACCTGAAAGACACAGCACTATCAGGACAGTCAAACAGCATAGTCCATGCAATCTCTTAGGATGTTGTGCAAACAAAATTGCACCTTTGGGTCTCTTCTGATGCAAGACTGCCCTTAGTAGAATAACCAGAATGACCCATCCAAAGTATCCCCAAAATATTGCACATCAAAGAACCAACACCAGGGTATGACACAGTCTCAAGAGACTAATAAAAGCATGGAAGCCTGAATGCTTTTGGGCATAATTTCTTAGAACAACTCTCCTAGCAGTGTGGTGAGTTTGTTGGTGAAAACTGCAGTGGTGCTAGCACACAGTCTGACAGCGACCTCAGCTTGAAGCTGGGTGTTTGAGATACCAAGCAAGGGGTGTCCTATCTTTTGGGGACCTGAAACTTGGAGAGTCAGTGCAAAATAGGTGTCGTGAAGCAGCAGGCTAATGGTATAACCACAAAAACTAAGGCAGATGGAGTTAGAAAATCATATATGGCATTTTAATAGAACGTTTTTTCTTCCCTCTGTTAATGTATTTATGGGAGATGGTGTGCCTATCTGGGAGGAAAAACAAACTTTTGAAACACCGTCTGGAAGCAAGTAAGGAAGCATCTTTAATTCTGCATGCATAAGCAAGGCAGCTATCCTTCACAGGCAGGCATTGATCTGTTCCAAACCTGCTGGTTTCATTACTCACCTGCAGTGGCATGGCTTACACTGGGATTTTCTGAGCCTTGGTAAGAGCTTGCTTTCCTCTCTTAAAAAAAAAAAAAACCCTGAGATGAGCAGAGATTCAACATAGAGCTAAAAGTAGACAGTAGATCCTAAAGAAACCTTGTGCTTTTGCAGCCCAGCCTATAGCACAGGTGCTGGGAGCTCTGTGCTGTCTGGCACAGCAATATACACTTCCATAAATATAAATATCAGCTGTTCTTAAACATGACACAGCGCAACGAGAAGTATATTTAACAGATAGAGCCAAGAAACAGGGACTCCCACAGCCAGACTGGATGCACACATCCTAAGGACTTGCCAAAGACTCTCTGTGAACACGGGCCAGCCATTTCTTATCTGTTCCTTTTGGGTTGCTTGATAAGCATGTGTATGGCGTTATAGATGTGGTGCTACGAGGATCCCCGGATATTCAGAAAGGCCCTGTAAGCATCCTGAAAGAAAAGGCTTTAACTGGTGATGGCTGGGGAATGTTGAGCTGTTTAATTTCCTTTTCAATTTTTCCCCACTCATTTTCTTTCTGAAATCTTGAAAAAAAAAAAAAATCCACTGTTAGCACTGCTTCACTTTTTTGATCTCAAGACTAGTTTCAGGAAATACCTCCTTTGGGCTCCCGAGCCTTAATAGGCTCACATTGCCCCCTTGGGGGAAGAAGGGCACCTAACCTTGTTCTTAAATTAAATCCTAGAAGTCCAGACCTTTAAAGTAATTAGACTGCCATTTACTAGCTGCAAAAAGTCTAGGGTGCGTGTCTATGCAACACAGACACACAGTCTCAGCTGAATCTACCTAACTACGTACCACGAGCAGAACGTTTGTATTCCAGCTGAAGACATAGACACTCTCCCTTTTCTACGCACAGACACAAACAGGCATTAGACACTCTAGCAGGAATAAGTTAGCAAAACACCTATAGTAAAGGTCCTCGTAACAACATAGGTTCACTGTAGCCTCAAAAGAGAAACTGTGGATAAGTCTGCTTGCAGATATAAGCCCATGTTCTGCCAAATTCCTGCTGATGCAGATTAGAACCTGGGTAACCAGTAGGTATTTCACAGCTGTCTATTTTTCAAAACCTAAGACTCAGGATCACTTCTTCACATGCCTGGTCCTTTTTATCCAGAAGCACCAGGTAGGAGACACTGTATTTTTCCAGGAGGCTCCCTAAACATTTTCGCAACCCTTTCTCTTGAAGGTCAGTGCCAAGCTGACTATCTGGGTAACGCCCAGGAACAGCAACACAGGCATACCCTAACAGGGCACCAGGAAGCCTGATCCCAGAGAGCTTCTCAAAGGCAGAAATTACTCACAAGGGAGCAATTTTATCCAGCAGCCCTAGATGCTGTGGGAACATCAGCTCCCGGGAAACAGACTTCAGTCACCAGCCATCTCTCTTCTGTGTGCTAGCACTACACAGGATTGGGATTCCTACTAACTGTTCATAATAAATAACCAACAATCATTGCTCCTGCATGGATTGCATTAGCTCTGGGAAAGCTACTGCAGAGAGCAGTCGCAGCCTTTGACAGGCAGGGCAGCAGTGCTTCATGGCAGGCAGCAATTAGCTGGGAGACAAGGCACGGCCGGCCTGTCAGCCCCTTTACCCCAGTCCTTCCAGCTACAGACAGAATAGGGAGGGAGAGAAATCCCTGGGCTTTCTGCTAAGGGCTGCAGTTTCACCTCCTGTAGGCAGACTATCAGGAAGATACGGTTGCTCAGGGCTCTTACCTGGCCACCCCTTTCTGGTCGTAATACAGGAACATCTGGTACACACCATACCTGCTACCTACAAGGCAGAGATCCTGATAGTACTGTGAATAATGTTTATATTCACTTAAAATATCTCCCTGCTGTAAGCCAGAAGGTAAGATATTGTGCAAGTGGGCAATGTATATTTTTTGATTAAGCCATACTATATAACTAATCAATCCCAAGTATCACACTACACATCATGGGTTGTCTATTGGAAAAAAACTTCTATGAGCTGGGCTGAAGATGGTTCCAATTTGAGAACCTTAGGAACAGGCTGTGTTATTTTGCCTCTTTACATAATGTGCCATCAAAGAATAAAGTGATAGTAAGTATTTCCTTACCTCCCCCAGGAACTGAACTTTGACTTATATTTTGAAACCTAGCAGGTCCAGTCATACAAGCAGAACTTGAGTGTTGCTTCATGGTACATTCTTGCATGGATGTTAGGCACCTTTCCTGTTGCAGGAGACCAAGAAGAGAACCGTATTTCCTGTCAGAGATTGGTTCATCTACCACGTGCAGGTCAGGCAAGGCATGATGATATACCGAACTGGCAAGGCTGGGAGTCCCAATCGAAGGGAAGGACCATAAATCTGCAGGTTGAGTTGGATGACTCCGCAGAGCTGGTGGCTGGTACTGGCCTGCCATACCGGCAGCAGAAAAATTGAGACCAGAATTTGACATGCTTGTTGCAGATGATGACGGATATGGTTTGGAGCAATGTGAAGAGAAATTCCACTGATGGGGAGACATGTTATCTACTTAAAAAGAGAAAGAAAGCATTTGAAGTCTCATCAATTCTTACTTTTTTCTAAGGCAAATTCCAATGGCCTTCTAAGGGAACGCTACCAGATTGCATATTCCTTTTTACAGGAATATATATTCACTGCAGTGCTGCCTCTCTTAAAAATCAGCCACAAATTCATACTAAAAGCAGACTAGCCACCACCACCAATACTTTCAAATAAATATTACATGTGTTTTCTTACCAGCCACTAGCATTAAGCAGGTTTTTAACAATTGCAAGCTTAGACAAATATATTTTTGCAAAGATGACAAATTAAGGCATCATGCACTTAATGCATCTGACTGCGACGGAGACTGTTGGCTGGAAAATGAGGACCCAGTCCTGCTAACAGGCCTATGGAGAGCTTGGGAAGCACCCCAGCAAGCACAGGGATTTACCCAGGAAGTCCCAGCTACGTAATCCAGGGCTTTTCAGGTGTGATACTTTGTTTTCTGTTTGCGCACAATTCCAAATTTAAGCACGCTGCATCTTAAATTCCTTAGTGAAAGCTAGTCACCCCCTATCTAACACCACGCTCATGCATGGAAAGCAGCTCACCATTCTTCAGCACAACAGTCTCGCCTTTGTGCTTTGTGCTCAGGTCTTGTGGGTTCTTGGCATTGCTTAGAGCTCTAGAAAAATGTTCATCTACCACACTGTTAATATCCCCTTGGAAATATGTAAATACAACACTCTGAGACCCCCATTCTGTTTTCACAGCTTCTTTGCTTTTACACGGCTTTGGAGAGAGCTTCCTTGTTTCTTCCATTTTCAATAACCAACAGCGCCTGCCAAAAACCCCAAAAAACAGACCAGTCAAAGAAATACTGTTCAACTTAAAGTATTTCATATTAGAAGTACATAATAAGGAAATCAGTAAAGAAAAGGTGTGTGGAAGAAGCAGAAATCCAGATAAAGAGTCTAATCTTACTAGTAATAATTCTTCTGGCCCTACCAGTTT